TTTGGGCATGTTGCAAGGAGGGACCAGTTCTTGGAGAGGGACATCATGTTTTGGAGGGAGGAGGGAAAGCACAAGAGAGGAAGACCTTCGATGAGATGGATTGATTCAGTGACTGGGGTAACCGGAATGGGTATGTCAGAGGCAGTGAGATTGGCATAGGATAGTTCAGGGCTTAGGACTCTTGTACATAGGGTCACTATGAGTTGCAAATTACTTGATGGCCCATAACAACAACAACAACAACAACAAAAAGATCAAACAAATATGTCTTGAAAAAAATGTAACCAGAGCATTCCTTCTAGGCCAGTGTGGGGAGACACCACCTCACTTACTGTGGGCACATTTTCAGGAGGAACCTCTCCTTGGAGAGAAACCACACATTAGGGAAAGTGAGGGTCAGTGAAAAGAAGGAGACCCTCAAAAAGAAGGACTGAGACAGTGGTTAGCATGGTGGACTTCTGCTTGGCAGAGATTGTGAGGTTTAAAAGGCTCAGATATGTTGTGCACAGGGTCACTCTATGTTGTGTTAACTTGATGGCACCTAACACCACTACAATGGTGCTCATACAGAAAGCTGTACATGAACCAAGAATTAATCCTTTAAATAAATACAGGACATATTGTGTGCTTTAAATCAGAAAAGGTCTATGTCAGGGTTATATCTTTTCACCATATTTGATGCTGGAATAAATGGAGAATAAAGTGGCATCAGAAGTGGAGGAAGATTCATCAATAATTTGTATTATGCAAATATTATAATCTTGCTTACAGAAAGTGAAGAAAACTTGAAGCATTTACTGAAGAAGATCAAAGACTACAGCTTTCAATTTCAACATTAAGAAAACAAAATTCTCACCGCTGGACCAACAGGCAATATCTTGGTAGATGGAGAAAAGAATGAGGCTGTCAAGGATATGATTTCACTTGAGCGCACAAGCAAGACCCTTAACAGCAGCAGTCAAGAAATCAAAAGACATATTGCTTTGGGCAAGCCTGCTCCCAAGGACCCCCTTAAAGTTCTAAAGATAAGGATATCACTTTAAAGACTAAGGTGCGCATGACCAAGCCACAGTATTTGCAAAAAGCTGCACTGCAATCCCCAAGACACATGGTTCCAGGCCACCAGCTGCTCCACAGGAGAAGGATGGTCAGTCTCCTCACATGCAATAAACCACCTCTGAAAACCCACCGGAGGGTCAGCTGTGGGTCAGTTCCAACTCCACAGCACAAACAACTACAACAAGCATATGCCTGTGGAAGTTGAACAATGCTTATTTATTAAAGATTGTTTTTGTTATGTACCACTGAGTTGGAATTGACTTATACTTGATCCTCCAGTGAGTTTTCAGAGGCAATTAACAGCACAAGAGGAGACAGTATCTTTCTTTTGCAGAGCAGCTAGCTGATGGATTCAAACTGCATGCCTTTGGGTTGACAAAGCAACTCCTTATAATTAAGCCACCAGAGCTTCCAAACCTAAAGGTTAGGCAGCAGCTAAGGCTGTACTGAGAGTTAAATTCATAGTCTTAACATTTCTTTGAGTTTAAGGTGAAAGTTGACATAGGTTTCCATGGAACAATTTATACACCAGATATTTGTTATATTTTTGCTTTAGACCTTTAATTATTACAAAAGAAAGATTTTGTTTTAGCACTGAAATCAGAGTTAAGGAGGAGGCAAATATCCTCATAAGAAAACTGACAATACACTCAAAAGCTGGTTCTTCAGAAATAAACAAAGTTAGTAAGACACTGTGAAACTCTGCTTCTACAGAAGAAACTGAACATTTCATTCATCATTGTTGAGTGCCATCAAGTCGGAACTGACATGTAGCTGACCCTCGAGAGGGTTTTCACGTAGGAGGAGAGTGCGCCCACCTTTCCCCGTGGAGGAGATGGTGGATCTGAACCATATTCCTTGGGGTTGGTAAAACAACTCGACCCCTGAACCATCAGAGCTCCCTACTCACCATTAGGAACCATGAAACTCAAACATCAAACAGCCCCTGCCACCCACTACATTCCAAGCCGGCCCTGCAGGACAGTGCGGAGCTGCCCCCAGCGTCTCCAAGGCTGGAACCTATATGGGCATAAGTTGTCACCACATCTTTCTCCTGGACAATGGCTAATGGATTTGGTCACCAGCTCTTTGGTTAACAGCTGAATTCCTTCCTTAAACACTGGGCCACCAGGTTCCTTGAAGTTGAAAATAGACTAAAAGCACAGGCGAGCTAGAAGAAGAAGCAGAAAAACCGGAGACTGATCCCCACAAAGGGAGATCTGAACTGGCCGAGGGCCTGCCCTCTGGAGCCTGCTGCTGGCAGAGCCGCCAGGCGGTGGGGCTCACTGTCTCGCACAGAGAAGTCCTCGGCCCATTTCCAAGGTGAGAGTTTACTGTAGCCAAGATAGAGCAAGGTGAGAAGAAGAAACTCTAGACTATTTAACTTATAGACACAGAATGGACGAGAGTAGTGGTAACCCACTAGTTCATTTTCTCCCGTGCGAGGGACACAGGTTTGATTCCTGACCAAGGAGCCTCACGTGCCGGCACAGTCAGTCTCTCATGACAGCCTTTACATTATGATGCTGACCAGGCTGTAGAGAAAGTTCTAGAACAAGGAGACCAGGAAGAAAAGACTGGAGATCTGGATCCAACAACAACCTGACCTGCAGCCCGTCATGGGAGGGTGTGGGAATGCGTGTCGTTCCGCTCCATTCCACAAGGGTCAGGGCCACTCGGGGGCAGCGAATGACAGCAGTACCAGCATGGCTGGGAATCCTTGCTGAGCGTTCTCCGTGAAAGGAGGGCGTACGTGAAAGATGTTTGTCTGTGCTCTGCTGAGCGTGAAAAGGCATGCGACTGGAGAGGGTAACGGAGCACGGGTAATATTACAAAGAACGGGAATTCTGGAACACTTCACTGCACATACATGGAACCTGGACATAGTCCAAGAAGCAGTCATTCCAACAGAACAAGCTAGGCTTAAAGTCAAGGAAAGGTGTGCGCTGGGGCTGTTTCCCCTGCCTATTCACCCTGAACACCAAGCAGACAATCCCAGAAGCTGGGCTATGCGGAGGAGCGTACACCAGGAGGACCGGAGGACTCAGAGCACAGAATGAGCACTGGAGAGCGACTCAGCATGACACGTGGACCCGGGGAGGACTCAGCACGGCAGGGGGGCCGGGGGAGGACTCATCTGAACCTCTGCTATGCAGGTTGCAGTCTTGCTTGCTGAGAGTGAGGGGGACCTGAAACACTGACAGGAGACACCAAACCTTGGAGCTTTGAGTGTGGGCCTCCCGTCACCTCAGGAACAGAAATCTCTATGGGACCAACAGCAGCATCACGGCAGAGGGAGGAAAGATGGAAGACTTGGCAAAGGTTTCCATCTACTTGGATCAACAGTTGACACACCAGCAGCACACGAGAAATCAAAGGATACATTACAACGAGCAAACCTGCTAGACTTCCCTAGCACGCTACAGAGCAAGGAGGTCTTTGAGGACCAAGACGCCTGACCGTGGCATGTCCGCAGCATGGGGCCCTGCTACAGAAGGCCGTGCGCCTCCGTGGCTACAGTCCACCAGGCATCCTCCCACTAAGCTTCAGCGCCTTTGGGAGCTCGTGATGGGGCACTGAGTCAGGACGGGTTGATGCCAGCAGTTTGGCAAGGGCACGGCACAAGGCTTCAGCACAGCTGAAGGATTGATGCCCTTGGATCATGGTGTTAGCAAAGGACACTGGGTCCACAAGGGGTCCCAGAGGAGGACTAGATCCACTGAGGAAGCCACCCAGCCGGGCTGCCCCCCAGAAGCAAGGATGCTGTGACTGCCTCACATCCTTTCACCATACCATTGGGAGGGACTAGAGCTTGGAGAGAGACCTCATCTTAGCATTAGAGGGTCAGAAAGAGCGGACGCTCCTCAGTGAGCTGGACTGACAAGGCTGCAAGGACCGGCCCAGGTAGGGACCGCACGGCTGGCATGGACGGGGTGGCATTTCCACCTGTCGCTCAGAGGGTCACTATGGAACCACCGGATGGCCCCTGACCACAGGCAGCGTTGGTGAAGCTGAGACCCACACCGTGTGGGGAGGAGCAGCTGTGGCCCATGTCAGGTGGGATGCCATCCTGACACCTGGAAGTGCTGTCTCCTGAGGCCAGAGCCCTGCCTGCCACTCGGCCCCCAGCACCATCCCCATTAGCTGGCTGACTGACTGCTTGAGGGTTCGGAAGCCATTCCTAGTCCCCGGGGCAGTCCCCAGGCCACAGTGGCCATTCAGAAGTCTTCACTGCGTCCACAGTGAATGAAGAAATGGACTGACCTGCTCAGGTGCATCACCCGGCTGGGAGCCCAGGGGAAAGCCAGATGGACGCACCTCGGCCCCGGGACTTGGCTGCGGGCTTGATGATCCAGATGTTGTGGGTCCCGTCGATCTCCGTCTGCGGGTTGATGGATGCGATCCTGTTCAGCAGAGTCTGGCACTGTGACAAGTAGTTCCTGAGGTTAGAGATGACGGCGCCGCCACTGTGAGACAAGGGCCAGAGAACAGTGTAAGCAGGGAGTGTGGCCCAGCTGGCCCCCGGGAGGCCGAAGGTGCACCCCACCAACCCAGAGATGGCCAGCAGCATGCCCGAGCTAGACAGGGGTCTGTGACTCAGTGTGAGAGGCTGCGGGGGCCTGAGGTCCCTGGGTGGGCCCCCCAGAGCCCACTGGACTCACAGGACCCTGTCCCATGGGAGTCTCCCTGAGATGCTGGCCCTCAGGTCTGACTGCCAGTTTAAGCCCAGGGTTCCACAGCTGACACCACAGAGGGCACCCCGGTGGGAACAATCCTGCAGCTGGGCTGGATTTAAGGGGTGAAGAAAAGCTGGTCCTGGCGGCCGCATCAGCAGCGTTAGTCTACTCCACAATGCCAGTGCCTGGGCAGAGAACGTGCCCACAACCACCAGCACCCATGGGCCCCAAGAGCCCAGCCCAGGCCTGGGCAAATATGCAAAGCTTTGTTAGAGCTAGATGATAAACCCAAATGTGATGGTTAAAAAAAATACAGCAGCGCTGTGCAGAAGACAAGGATCTGGCACACAGCTCATACAAAGCCCTGACGATAAAACGGATGAACTGGGCTTTGTGACACCCAGGTCTCTTCTCAAACAGCCCGTGTAGAGAACTGACCCTACCCATCAAAGAGAAGGTGTGTCTCAGGGCTGTATCCTGTCTCCACACATATTTAATCCGTATGCTGAACAAATGATTTGGGAAGGTGGACACTATGAGGCGGAGCGTGGCATCCGGATGGGAGGGAGACTCATCAACCACCCTCATTATGCCCATGACACAACCCTGCTTGCTGAACCTGAAGAGGACCTGAAGCACTTACTGAACAAGACTGCAGACGGCATACGGCCTTCAATATGAATTACATTTCAGCATTGAGAAAATAAAAATCCTCACCACTGAACCGATAGGCAGCATCATGATAGATGGGAATGACTGAAGTTGGGGAGGATTTCCTCTTGCTTAGATCCACAATCAACGCTCACGGCAGCAGCAGTCAAGACAGCGAAAGGCAGGAAAGACACATTGTACTGTGAAAGCCTGTTGTCAAGCCCAGTCCGAAGTTCAAAGAGCAAGGATGTCAGTTTAACTAGGAAGGTGCACCTGATCCAAGCCACGGTCCTTTCAATTGGTTCCTATGCATCTGTGAGCTGGACAGTGAATAAGAAAGATGGGGTGAAAAATCACTTCCTTTGAATTACAGAATTGGGGAAGGGTCTCGAATACCCCACAGGCTGCCACAAGAGCGAAGCAATCTGACTTAGAGGAAGAGAGGCATGCAGCCAGAATGCTCAGAGGTAAGGAAGCTGAGCCCCCAGGCCACATGCTTAGACGTTTTGTCCAGAGCGGTCAGTTCCAGGGAAGTACATCCGGTTGGGAAGGTCGAGGGTCAGTGAAGTGGAGGAGACCCTCAGTGGGATGTGTTTACATAACAGCTGTGGACGCGGGCGTGCAGGGCAGGGTGAGGTTCCGATCTGTCCTTTGTAGGGTTAGTTGTCACCAACTAGACGAACCATCCTACAAAGTCTCGTGTCCAGAAAGCATGAATAAAACATGTAGTTGTTAAGAAAAGGTAGTCTGTGCTCGCTTCGGCAGCACATATACTAAAATTGGAATGCTACAGAGAAGATTAGCATGGCCCCTGCGCAAGGATGACACGCAAATTCGTGAAGCGTTCCATATTTTTTGAGGAAGCACCAAAAAAAAAAAGGTAGTCTTATTAAAGAGGCTTTACAGATGTGTGTAAACACTGCAGAAAGACGTTCCAAGGCGAGCGTGTGGACAGGGCACTGTGGCTTAGGACAGGTGGACACTCGGAGGACACCCTCGGGGACTCTGCAGGGTGGCAGTGTTCCAGAGTAGCCTCATCTGAATCAAGGTGGGCTGGGTTTTCAGGGGCCCCTCCTGCCCTTGTCCACTGAGGCTCCCTTGGGGAGCTGGCTAGGCTGCTAAGGCCCTGCTCAAAGCCATCTGTTTCCGGGGACTTTACCATGGAGACCCCGGGTCTCCAGGAAGTTAGTGCTCTGGTCTGAGGGACACAACCTTCCTTCTCATCAGCGGGATCTGGGAGGAGCAGCGGTCTGTTCTCTGATGGGATGTCTGATTGTGCTAACACACATTAATCCCAGACCTGTGCCCGCTGGGTCCTGAAGCCCGATCAGTTCAGGTGCCATCCCGGCTGGTCGCAGGAGAGACTCTGGCTCTAGGATCTTCTGTTCCTTCCGTGTTGGGAATTCTCCAGGCTCTTCCATCAAGGCAGAGATCCACATGCACTCACCAGCCACTGTCACTGTTCCTCGGACTCAGTGTCACACTGCACTGTGCTCCACGGCACGTTCAGAACGTGATTTCTGGAAGAACGTTTCTAGCTCTTCCTGCAGAGGCACTTCCAGGTGGGATCAAACCTCCGAGCTTCTGGTGAGCAGCCGAGCTGGTAAACTGTGCACCACAGAGGAACCCAAGGCAGAGGCTACACGATGTTTACAATGTGATGACGCTCGTGTCCAGATGCCACGTCGATGGCGCCCTTCCAGTCCAGGGCCTTGAGGTGTCCTTGGTAAATACACGTCACAAAAGCCAAGGTCTTTTTCATTATTGTGAATGTCTCATCACATGAACGCCATTCACTGGGAGGACAATTCTCTCCCTGGACTAGAGTGGCCCTTTATCCCAAATCAATGATACTTACGAGGTTTCGTTCTAGCCACTCTGTTACAAGGCCCACGTATTGCCTTGCCACAACACCACACCGCTGCCAACAGTGTATGGTTAGTAGGTTCTCAACCACGCCCTGGAAGGAACAAAATGCTCCCTCGAAGACCTCTAACTGCAGGTTCTGAAATGCACCCTGTAAGTCCTCTGTTTCTCTGGATCAAGACTCTCTGGGCCTTTAGATATCATGGAAATTTGCATACAAGTTTTAGAATCGGCTTTTCAATTCATCCTACTTTCCCTGAAAAGATCTTTAAGATTTTATGTTGAACTATAGGTTGATTGGAAAGTATTAATGTCTCTACCCTACTCAGTCTTCCAACCAAGAACGTGAACATAGCTGCAATAAGACCCTACGTACGTCAGTCCACGTGTGAACAGTTTATGAAGCTCCCAACTCGGGCTGCACAGCAGGGGGTAACATGCAGCCTCTCCACACACACACCCCGTCCACACTCCAGCAACAGAGGTACCGGAAATGTCAAGAGGAAGAACCTTACAACCAAGGCTCAGAGTAAAACCAAACAGAAGGCAAGGTTCCTGGGGTCGCAGAGCAACAGCTGTGGTCAGTCTTCTCTCCCTAAACCCCACACCTCACGCACAGCAGCCAAGTCGGTGCCATCTCCAGGGGACCCTGTGGACAGAGGAGAACAGCACTGGTGGGATCTCCAAAGTGGTGAATCTTTTTGCAGGAAGATGGCTACGTTTTTCTTCAGTAGAGTGGCTGGTGAGTTGAAGCCAGTTTCTCTCCAGCCAGCAGCCATGAACCAGGGAGCAGCTCCCTTCTCACAAAGCAACGAGGAAGCCGGACTCAGTGTCCAAAAGCAGTCATTGCAGGGCTTGCAAATCCACCGTCGGAACGCAGCCAGGGGAGGCAATTCCTGGGGCAACATGCCAGATCTGCAGTGAGAACACCGGGGAGACTGCCCACATCTGCACCCTGACCGGCAGTGACTGGTGGACCAGTTTTGAAAACCCACCGCTTTCTGCAGGGGCAGTCCACCTGATTCGGAGCACAACACAGCAAGCCCAAGCTTCAGGGAGTACTGCGGTGGCAGATGGGTAAGACCAGGGCCCTCTTAGTCTAAGACTGTGGCGTTGATGAGAAGCAAGCAATGTCTCCGCCAGAAATGTCACCGGGAAATTCCATAACTGAGGCAGACATGGTGGGCCTTTGACAAATTCCCTGCTCCTCCCTCAATACAAGACGGCTCCACACAAACAGCAGAGACGCCCGGGGCACAGTGCAGGCGAAGGCGGCCCAGACCTGGAAACCGCCTGAACTGCAAGTGAACGCTTTATCCCACTCCATCTGTATTAGGTGGTTCACTGGTTCGAGGCACCTGAGTGTAACTCAACATATGCAGACATAGACTGTGGTTGTTATGGGCCATTGAGTCACCTGCGACCTACAGCAGTCGTATGTACAACATCTCTGAAGCCTGCCCTGTTCTGAGCCAGTCTCACTAATTCTGACACACCTATCCCCACTGTCCCAGTTACTATAACAATCCATCTCATTTGGGGTCTTCCTCTCCTGCACTGTCCACCCACCCTTCCAAGCATGATGTCCTTCTCAAAGGACCATTTCCTCATGTCCACGTGCCCAAAATAATTGAGACAGAGCTTCAAAATCCCAGCTTCCAAGGAGAAATTTGGTTTCGCTCTCTCCAGGACAGACCTGTTTGTTTTCTTGGTGGGTCCATGGTATGTAACTCAAAGACATCGATTCTTCTTCTGTCATCCTTAGTCATTGTCCAGCTCTGATACATAGCAAGTGATTGCAAAGACCATGACCTTGATCAGGTGCACGTTAGTCTCCAGACTGACATTGTTGCTTAGCACTCTGGAAAGGTCCCTGACAGCAGATTTTCCCAGTGCAATTCATCTTTTGATTTCCTGACTGCTGGTGCTAAGAATGTTGATTATGGAGGTGAGTAAGGTGAAATTGTTAACAATCTTAGTGTCTTCTCCATCTATCATGGTGCTGTCAATTGGTCCATTGGTGAGAATCTTTGTCTTTTTTATGTTGAGCTTCAATCCATAATGAAGACTGTAATCCTAGACCTTCTGCAACAAGTGCTTCAGGTCCTCCTCAGTTTCAGCAAGCAGGGTTGTATCATCTGTGTAACGTAGGTTGTTAATGAATCTTCCTCCAATCCTGATGCCACAATCCTTCTCATAAAGCCAGTCTCCCAAGTAATCTGTTCCACTTCTAGATTAAGAAGGTATGGAGACAGGATGCATCCCTGACACAC